TGAAGGATGTACAGTGACCGCAGACGCCTAGGTTTAGCAACTGAGCGTTTGAAGGCAAATTTTGAAGCTATGCGTCCACACCAGCAAAAAGTTTACTTCCAACACGACAACGCTCGGCGGCACATTGCAAGAACGACCAAAACTGAACTGGTGAATTTCGGCAGGACAATTTTACTACACTCACCGTATTGCCCAGACTTGGTTCCCTCGGATAACCACCTTTTTCCCATCTCCGACGTCATCTGGGTGGTCAAGACTTTCAAACTCGCGAGGACATCAAAATGGCACTCGAGCAGTTCTTCAAGGCCGCCCTCACCGTCATGGAGCAATGGCATCTACGACCTGCCCATACGTTGACAAAAGACCATCGATGCCAATGAGGCTTACTTGAAATGATTCGCAATTATCGTTTAAAAATTGTAAGATAACATAATCACTGTCAATTTGTCGAGGACTACAGTACCGGTCAGTGAAGTATGCATTTCCACTTTTTCAAACGTAGCTTCTTAAAAACAGCATCTTTACAACTGGTTTTTCCACTGTGAGTTCCTATCACTGCATGTGAACAGAGAGTTTTCAGTAGCCTAAGTTGATTGTGCAATTTTTTGAAAGATTTTAGTCAAAGAAAGGGTCAAGCCCCATAATTCCAGTGAAACTTCAATCTGCCTTAATTTTCCATTTCTCAGCGCAGCACTTTGCATAAGAACAAATATAACAAGTAAGACATGAATGCTTCGTAAACCTTCAGAGTCAATAATGGCTTAAATCGGCGTGGCATGGACTTGATGAGTTTGTCGATCCCCTCCTAAGGGATGTTCTCCCATATGACCTCAAGTTGAGGAGCTTGTCGTGCTTTTTGTGGGCTCGAAGGTTTTTAACACGGCACAAGAGACAATTCTACAGACGTTCAATAGGACTCAGATTTGGGGATTGAAACGGCCACGGTAGCAGAGGAACGGAATCATTTGGTGAGCAGCTTCGATTTGTGCTTCAGGTCATGGTCTTGCTGGAAAATTAAGTGACCGGAGCCAACACTGCGAATGAACGGATAGATAACAGCCTTCATCATGTTGGTGCACATTTTGGAATCCATCTTACCGTCGATACTTCAGAGGGGACAAAATCCTTTGCCACAGAAGCTGCCGTGAACCATCACTGCACCCCCGCCATATTTCACGGTTGGCAGCTGGCAACTTGCATGGCATCTGGTACCGATTGGACGTCACACAAACTTGATTTTATCCTTGCCGGACAGCAAAGACTTGGGTTTGTCGCTTTTGATGGCCTTACGCCACTGCTGGATTACCCAGTTCTTGTGGGCATGATCCCAATCGAGAAGCACTTTGCGATTCTTGGCAGAAATCAGCGGCTTCTTTGCTGGACGACGTCCAAACAGATCGACCTCTTTCAAAAGACGTAGAACAGCGTTTACGGATGGATTGGCCTCTCGGGCGTCGAAATTTCTCGAGAAGTTTTGACCCGAGCCATTTGTTGCACGCTGCACAGTTTTCCTATCGACAAGACATAGCGTCAATCCCGCTACCTCTGCGTGACTTTTGACTTCGGCTGACTTTGTGACCTTGTGTTCCTTCCAAACCGTTTGTACGCACATCACTGGCACGCCTTGAGCTTCAGAAACTCGCCTGGATGTTAAGGCTTCCTGGAAGCCCCGAATGACGGCGTCAACTTGATCTTGCCGTGACTACAGATCCCCGAGTGCCTTGGAAAAGTCTTATTGATGTACTAGGTGCATGACGTGACACAACGGAGCAAGATTTAGCTCGAAATTCCTAACGTAAAAACCCACGAGTTATCGAACGCAAAAGTGTGCGTTGGGGGGCTCTTCGAAAATTAAGAGCCAGTTTCACTTGGAAGTGTGCTGCTAGACTACTGCGCATCTATAATGTTACCAACTGTTCAAGTTATGCTGTTTAAGTTTCCCGCCGAAAGGTTGAGATTTGCGGAAGTTACGTTTAAAAATTGAAAACGCATACTTCACTGACCGGTACTGTATATACATATATACTACATATATATCCTACTTTATATAATTTGCTCAGTGTGTCTGTTGGTGTGTCGGTGTGTGGGTGTGTGTTTGACCGGAAATTTATAACTCCTGTTCCCGTGGATCTAGAGAGTTCAAATTAGGTAAGAGTACGGGGGGCAGGATGGGGATACTCATGGCGGGTGGCAGGAACTGACTCCACCCATAGTGGGCGGGCCGTGCGCGATGGGAATTTTGTGCCGCAAACTCATAACTCTTGTTCCAGTGGACCCAGAGCGTTGAGAAGTGATGGAAGTACGGGAGGCAGGATAGGAATACTCATGGCAGGCAGCAGGGCTAGACTCCGCCTAAAGGGGAGGGTTTGCGCAGAGTAAATGATCCAGCGAAAATTCGTAACTTCTGTTTCCGTGGACCTGAAGAGTTCGGATTTTGTAGGTTTCAACAGGTGATGTAGGATATTACGGGATCGTAGGTACTCGGTGACAGTAACCGACGATAACTGATAAGAGAAAATAAGGTACCTAAGAGAGGCCACCTACCGATCAAAATCCTAGCGCATTCAGTATTTACAATACTGCTTTGGCCGTTCAGTATTTTTCATTCGATAAGACGGAATGGTAGAGTATGGTAACAAAAGTAAGTTGTAAGCGCAGTGATGGTGACCCATTACCGGTATCACGATATCAGATGAGGATTTTGCTCATTTGCTATTAGATTACGACCGCTATCCAGCAAGGTTTGTAACTCAATGAAAGATCCTCTTTGGTCGATATCATTTGCGACAAAACTTAACCGGCCACCAATAATCTGGAATTCCCAATAAATGATATCTCCGTGAAGAAAGGGGTCCATCGATAATGACATCTGATTATTTTATTATCATTATTCGAAACATTTGTGCGTACCGCCCATGGCTCTGGTTGCCTTAAAGTCGAGCCTTTAATGGGTATCTACTTTTAAGAATGAGAGCAAATGACCGAGTGTTCCAATTAAAGGCATAAGCAGCGAACTACACTGAATACCATTTGCAATGCCCTGTTAATCCTGTATCAAGTTCCGTGAACAGGGGATTATTATTTGTTTGATTATTATTTGTTTCAAAAAAAGAGTAGAGTTATCCGACCACTACAACTTTGTCGAAGGAGGAGAGCCCGTCGTTAGCCGGGAGAGCCGACTGGCTTATGATGAGAGAGTGTTTCCCAGAATTGCTTTATATCCACTCTGAGGAAATTCGAGAAATAGTGCCACATGCATCCATTCCGAAAGTAAATGTTGTGATCATTCATGTTGAAGTAATTGTACGGAATTGGAGCGCAAAACTCTAATCGGGCATTCCGACTTTCACACAGGTAGGAGGAAAGCCCGGCGTTAGCCGGGCGTTCCACTGGTGTATACATATAAAATATATATATACATATATAATGACTAACCTCATAAATTTTCATTTGTTCAGAATGTTTCGCTTTTAATTTACCAAGTCGATCGCATATCATTTGGTGAACACGAAAAAACAGAAACAACGAGTTTCCTCCATATACGAGCCGATAATGGGCGGTAGGAATCAATTTCGGTGGTTCGTCATCCGGAGCGTCTGTTCTAAATCATGTAGAACCTGATTATAACAAAAAACGAAAGTTTAGGGAGTTAAGAAGAAAGAAAGCTCCCTAGGAAAACAGCAAGAATTAAGAAGAAATAATAACACCTCAATATAGCACAAGAACTTTCCTAGAACGCATGCATCTCCGTTATATCAGGAAGAATGCAAGTAAGAACAACACAGAAAGAGGGAAATAGAATAAAAAACAAAACAGTTCAGCAAGTTAAACAGGGAACACTTAAGTGCTTAGCTCACATTCGACGCTTTTTAGGTGGTCCAGTTGCAAAAAGGAGTGGATCACTGTTTTCCTCACCATCACTCATCTCTTCATCGTCGATACCAAACCATTCTGTTACACATCTTCAAAAAAAAACAACATTGGAAAGCTTAATGTGATTGAAAGAGCAACAGTGGCAAAATAAGTGAAGCAACCATAGCAGAATTCTGTACTTTACATAGAAGACTGGTAAACAAGATCTGTACCATGCTTAAATAGGTTTTTTTATACATGACATTATGCGCTAATACTTCCACTCCATTGTATTTTACACACCCGAATTCGATTAAACTAGGTGTGGCAATCTCTAGCCACCATTGAGCAACTATTACAGTGGGACAAAATGGTAACGCCGTTTCGCTGACCTCCGTAAAATAATTTTTATCTTGTTCTTCTCTTCTTTATGAATATTGGACTGACGCTTCACATAGTGAATAATTAAATTTGACACATCATGTATAATGGACCTCTGTTCAGGATAAAGCATAACAAGATGTGGACCAACATCTTCACAACGCCCTTCTTCAGATCTAAAGGTGAATACTTATTGAATTATTCTTAAGCAATCTTCCAAATTTCCAGAAATTTCAAATCTACCTTTGTTGCCTCTCATCAAACATTACTTCAATGTGGTGGAGCAGAGCCTTGGCTTTGATCCATTTCGAGTCACTGTTTCTTAATGCATTTGACTGATGGTCGAGAGATCGCATCATATGCTTTTCATTCTGCTCGCGCCATATCCTGTTACAACGAAGGGTGTGTTACCTATCCAATTCTTGAACCTAATGCAATACCTGTTCATAGCCACTTGGGCCTCTCGCCATTCTTTCTCCTTGTCTCGCATTCTGTCTAACACCTGTTACAAAAACAATGGCAATCAAACCTACATCGAAAAATATTTTTGGATTATACCTTTGGGATAGTCATGGAAGGGTTTCGCTTGATGCCTTCAGTGATTTTCGAAGCATGCTCGCCGTATATCCGCTTGATGGCACGGAGCATTAACGACGGCGAACTACCGCCAAGTTTCTCATCCAAACTTAAGGTTTCAGAGAAGATTAATGTTTCAGAACAATACAGATTAATGAAATCACAACTGTCACATGATGATAAGAACGTCCTCACCGGAATTTATCTAGTTCTGCCTGTGTCATTCGCTCCATGCGTCGGCGCACCAGCTCCAGTGATTCGATAGCATATTTGTTCACATCAATAATAATATCCAACTTGAATAATTTGTACTTTATTATGACAAAAGGAACCCATGAAAGTAAAGTGTTAGAATGAACAAGAGAAAGATTACTGACCTCAAAACGCTCATCTTCTGTACGATAAATGAACTCCTCATATTGCGTCTTCTTGGAAGATACGTGAGTAGTGTCTTCGGAAGACCATGATGGGAATGATACCCAGGTATCGTTAAGCACCTTATAAATGAAATTCGTTTGCAGTAGAGAACTTAATATTTGCGGTAGCACAGACCTCATGACATAGCGGTGTTCTGCCAGAGCACACAGGTCGTTTGAAACTATCAGGAAGACTCCTATGAAGGGAGACAGAAAAACGACAAGTGGGTGTATAAAGGTACATGATATTTCAGTAGATAAAAAAAAAACACGATTGCACGAAAACCTACCTGTAACTAACCCCCAGTTGTTTACAGCTGGAATAGTCAATCTGATGCGCAAGATCACTGGGAAAACGTTGTTCAATAGGAGCAACAGCCGCTGAAGTGCTGGTAGCCTCATATTCCACTCCGAGGATACGCCGTAAGCCTTCCAAAAGATGCTTCTGATTGCCTGTTTAGAAATAGACTTCAAAACTGAAAATATCGACAATGAGCTGAACGATTCGGCTAAAAACTCGCCGAAAGTTGCCTCCAGCATAGTGAGGAGTTCGGTTGCAGAAATTATATTTGAACTGTACAGATTAAGAGCACGCAAAAAAGTTTGGTATCGCGGGTCATCCAGAAAGCGACGTATCTGAAGAATAATTTTACAATTTCTGTTTTACTTCAGACCTCGGTAGAACAAAACTCACAGACTTTAGGTAAAAATATTCACTCACGTTGTCGAAATATATGATATCTTCCACAGTTGCACAAATGGCTATATCCTTTACATCAACATCTCTCTTCCAAACAGAATTAGACTGTGTTTTATGCTTAAAACAATATATATATATATATATATATATATATATATATTGTTTTAAGCATAAAACACAGTCTAATTCTGTTTGGAAGAGAGATGTNACATCTCTCTTCCAAACAGAATTAGACTGTGTTTTATGCTTAAAACAATATATATATATATATATATATATATATATATATATATACCAACAAACCAACAGACACACTTAGCAAAGTGAATTATATATAGTAGGATATATATAGCTTTTTTGTCAAAGTTTTCCACTGACTACAGTACGCTTCGATTGTATCCGTGGCGCTAGAAGGAGGAGCTATCTATGGTTAACTCCGCGAACACCCTACCAGACGCACAGCATGTTTGTTATTGGCCAGATTTGATCTCACAGACGATTAAGCCCCTCCTGACGGATCCAACCACTGATGCCTCAATCTGTAATTCACATAGAAGAACCACTTCTTATCCCGTTATCCAGACAGCCTCGGCGGGATAGGGCAGAAGTTGCGAACAGTAATCCATGCGCGTTCTGAGGACTGATCAACTCCACAGGCTAAAACTCAACTTTTCCTAAGGAGCGAAGACCTCTGTTTCCCAAGGAGCGAAGACTTCTATTCATTGAATCTTTGGCGCAGCAGAGGGTCATTGAGCGACAGCGGGTCGTTTCGCAAAGATTGGCTTCGATCAGGGAGCGTAGCCTATCCAACCGGGGCGAATGACTCCTTGAGCGAGTCTTGCCTTCCAAGTTGCAACCGCCTGAGCAAATCCGATCGTACCATTTCGCGACGGGAGACAAAACCAGGACCTAAGGAGGAGCAGGGGTTGGAAATGGCTTCGACTGCGTTGTGGCCCATTCGGAACGCATACAGCGTAGCGTGACGGAAGTGAACATTATCCTTCTCTTCTTGAGTTCACATGCGCTTTGCACATAAAAGATATGAGAGATACCATATCGAGACTAGCGACATCTTTGAACTTCAAAGGACGGTGATCAGATTACTAGGCGAATACTTTCTTCCAACTGTTCTCTTTTGAACACATTTTTTCCTGGGGTATGTAGAGGAGTCTCGTATCGTGATTTAGGTGTTGAGACGAGTAGGGAATGCAAAACATTGCAAAATCATTCTCAAAGCTCTCAAAGCACATAAACTTCAACAATCGGGAGAAGCAAGATCAAACCTTAGCCGTGCTCGTTGTTGACCTTAATCGGCGCTTCTGTTTCGTAACTGCCTCCATCTGCTCATTCTCGGAATCGGAAAGCTCTACCTTCGTAGGGAGGTCTTCAGAATCCGACGAAAGTGTTGCTTCAGCCTGAAATAGCTGGTATGCCAGAAGATGAAGCAGTTTTCTCATTAAAAAATAGCTGACATGCCAAAAGGTGAAACATTGGCATGGCCTAAAACAGCTGGTATGTCGAGGATTCGACGATGATCTAATGAGTAATTACCTCTTTCGTTTCACAACCAAAAAAATCATCGGAAGGTGTCGGCAACCCATGAACACCAGGCAAGAAATGTCGAAATTCCTCGAGCAAATCAGGTTCTTCGCCGAACAAAGCTGTAACCGCCGACAACACTGCCTTTTCCCGTTGTGGAGTTCGAGCCTAGGATTGATGTGATTACTGAAACATCGCCTTCACGTCAAGAATTAATTCCCAATAAAATTATAAAGTCAGTGATCTAAAGAGATAACTGCGATGAGAACAAGACCATGGGAATTATGTTCCTCTTAATATATCGCATACGAAACTGGTGAGACGAAGTGTACCTGTTGTTCCACGGTTCTCTGATACGAGTGCAGAATATCGAGAAATTTTTTATATACAATCGGACGGTTCGCAAACCTTGCCTAAATCACATTTCAGCATTAACTACTCAACAAGTACGAATTATTTTCGTTATAATCACCTTGATTCGATTGACATAGCTGATGGCTTCGTTAATATCTTGGCTGCTCGAGTTCATTACGGGAGTACCTGCCTGAAAAAAGTCGCGAATCTGAGCCTAATCAAATTCGGAACGCAAAAGCTTCACTTAAGTCTACATTCATTCCTTAACTCACATTTGTAAATGATTAGGCTAATTGAAAATACCGTGCTAGGCGATGGAGCTAGGGCTGCAGGCGTTGGAGTGGTTTCCGTGCTGTCAGTATTAGGGTGGTCCAGCGACTGTGAGCAGTGTTGAGGAACATCAACCACAGGTAGCTTTTCTTCAGATATTCGTTCTGACTCTGGACTGTTGAAAATTACCTAAACACCTGACAAATTATGCGCATTAACCTTTGAGACGAAGGAACTCGAGCGAGAAAGTAGATCAGGAACAAAGAAAAGGGAAACTATTCTAGTATTCCAGGTTCACTGAGCCGTATGAAGTTTAGGTCCAGTCATCATCAATAAAAGGCTTGGTGCTATAAAGAAGAACCGTTCATGCAGCACAGACTCAACCCAACAACGACGAAAAACGAACCACTTTTCTGACGGGAATTATTATCGCATAAAGAGTTGTAACTAAAACGTTGTCATGTGCGCATGTCTAAACATTTGTAGAAGATCCGTTAGTGAAGGCGAGTTGCTGAAATCTGGCTGACCGCAAAGGTTGGTTTGGGAATCAGACTCTGAAGCAAGACTCGCCTTGATCAATCACGGCTTTACTTTGCTGGGGTCGATGAAATGGTACAGAATTGGCATATTAGGATTAAGAGACAATCCTGGCCTTTACAAATCACATATTGGCCAAATATGCAAATAAAAACATTACTTGCTTTATTCCATGGAAAGCGCCATGTAGTCGGTTACATCTTCTGAGCCTCAATGACGACGGCTTTCGTGATGCCGATTAAACTTGTTATATATTTATGTCCTCCACTACAGCAGGTTTATACCGCCTGCCGCGAGCATGTAATCTGTCGCAATGTTGAATTTTTTTTCCTAGCTTTACCTACCGAATACAATGCTGAGAGAGTAAGGTGGTCCCGCATATGTATGTTACCGAGGCCCAATTTCTAAATGTATCATGTGTGCACTATATGTCTTGAAATTGGCATGACCACGACCTGATATCACGGTTGTCACATAACAGTAAGTTCTAGGAACTTGAAACTGCTCGTATTGCAGTCGCGGCTTCGAAGGGTGAATAGAATTGAAAGAACAATATGGGAAATCTTGTCAAAAGAATGAGTCCTGGTCATTCACGCGTGCTCCTGTTCAACTTCAATATTTAGCGAATTCGTTGGACCAAGCTATTGGTGAGAAGTCTACACCGAGTGAGTTTCCAAATAATGGAACTACTAATTTCGATGGTGAATAACTTTACAGTCTCAAGACTACCTGAGTGTTCCCGCTCGGCTCTGTGATGGTTATTCTCGCTCCCACCACTTGCACTTCAAATCCTGGGGGTAGAAACGTGTTGAACCCCATTATAAGAGCGGATCTTCCATGAAATAGTCGACTCACTCTCGTTATCACTCCAGGGGTGTCGATGCTGAATTTTCTGTGTAAACAACTAGCAAGCGAACAATACAGTCTAGCAAATTTCGAACACATACGCTTGAGACTTGAAATCTTTCATGATGTCGAGAAACTGAGTGTAAACATTTGGTTGGTCTGCAAACTGTGTTTTCACTTGGTCCAGATAAGAAAGAGCGTCTTCCACCTGCAACTATGAAGGAAATCCAATGGAAAAAAGAGAACTACTGAATGTTAGTTATGCTCCAAGGTGATAAAGAGAAAGCGATGTATCTAAACTTAGAGAACAAATCAGGAAGAAAATAAGGTTTTGCCCTATCTCCTTGTGCATTGAATGGATCTTTTCATTCTAAATAAAACACCTTACGCTAATTTCAGAAAAACAAAGCTCCTAACCCCTTACAAAATTTCACTAATTATTTCTTTTAATCAGCAATCTCTGGGACCCGATGTTTCCAACTTTTATTACTTTAGGCACTTGAAGACCCACTTTTCCACTATTTGGTATCATTGGGTAAACGAAAACCACCTTCTTTATATGAGCAAATATACAACTCGTAAAGAACGCACTTTTACTCTGTTGTGATTCATTCCATGAGCATTGATATCATACTGTTCGTAAAGGCTGCTTCCAGAACCACCACTACCACAAGCGTTGTACATGCTGAAAAAGACGTCAATCACCTGTTAGCGTAACTCTCTTACATATGAAGCAGTGACTTGGTGTGTCGGTTTGTCGGTATGTAAGTCCGCAAAACTTTGTGATGACCATAAAGGTAGTGATATGGAAAACCCAGCTCTATCAAATATTCCCTTCTTATATGTAAAGCAGTAAATTAGTGGATAGGTTAATAGAGTAGAGTGAGACTGAGGAGTGAAGTGAGTAACGTGAAGTGGAATGTGAGTGGGAGTGGGACTCCAGAACTGTGATTTCGTTGTGTACTGGCATTGTGCTATGTATGTCTATACAAAAATGGAGGTGATAAGTGGTTGGGAGGCCTTCGCTTCTTTTTCATCACCGAGCGCTACAGCGCAGAGGAATACTCATAACAATTGTGCGCATTAACGCCGAGAACATACACTATTGTGATCTAAGCTTCGTGGGGGAAGGAGGACCGGGGTGGGAAGTCAATTGAATATTCAACCCATACCCCATCATCTTGGCTTTTTACACGAGGTAATCATCTCACCCCTACTCTTCCTGAGGGTTACAATCTAAGCACAGGTAAGGTCGGCTACCCCTTCTCTGCACTGTAGCCCTCAAGTGTAGTATAGAAACCATGCCCCCCCCCCTCCTAACTATATTTTCTGACCACTCTGTTAAAGTAAGGAATGCGGCCCGGCGTAACCCGGGCGACCCGACTGGTTATAAATAATAGGGCAATGATGCAGACAGTGGAAAGAGGGGGGGGGGGGGGGGGGGGGGGGGGGGAGGAAGGGTAGAACCGGCAATGCTGTATAAGAAATGTCAAGGTGCTAGTCGAGAGAACTTATATATAAACTGTAGTTTTGATTGTGTATTATTTACCACATACCATTCATACTGCTGCATACGAACGTGAAACCTTCACAGTCCTCATATGTCTAATAGCAGGACCAGGACAGAATTTCCTTTCACGAAAAAACCAGTATGAAGATTGCAGCAATAGGACCGCGAATTCTGGTTCGGACATCTGTTTCGAGTACTACCTAGCTCGATACCAACTCATTCTTAAGTGCTCCCCCTCTAGTTTCACAGGAGCAGTGGGCAGATGTCAATCCAAAGCAGAAGAATTCGATTAATAATCAAACGTCGGTTAAACTGGTTGATGTGACGCTCAACGCATCCATGTAATAGAAATACATAGCAAATAATTTCATAGAGAACCGAATTCAGCCAGATCTACCACATAATTTTCCTGTCTCCAGTACTAGTTTTGAGCCAAATTTAAAACACGTGGGTCTAACTGACTGACGAAACCCAGGACCCTTGATCGTCTTTAATGTTCGATAACCCCATCTCCAACAAAATAAAATTGCGAACAAATCGTCATGGTAAAATTTGAAAAACTGGGCACTGATATACACTATACGCGTCGCTTCGAATCGCATGTAGAAATCAGACAGAGGCAGCACGCGCGATATGCAGCGGCACGTTATTGGGGCGCGCTATTTTTCCTCATTTGAGACTGCCACATTGTGGGTTGTTCATAGTCTAGGACGGTTAGTGGGGCGTAAATGGAAAACAACAACGAAATTTGTCGACCACAGTGTATAAGGGTGTTGGAAGACCTTGAAGAAATTTTGCCTATAAACTGTTAAACATTTCAGAACGAAAGCGCTAAAGCAAAACTAGTAAACAGCTATCAGGGAGAGGGCATTGTTGATTGAGCAATACTACAGCTGACCGGTATTTTACGTCGTCTTTGGAAGTAGTTATCACCGGCCTTTTTATGTTCGATCGACAAGATGACCGGTGCCTTCTGCTTTACTATTGCGAAACTAGTCGCTTCGCCACTCAGGCTCATAATGATCCTTGAAGTTCAAAGGAAAAGAAAGGGTGATTCCTACTCCCTACTGCGATTATCCGCGCTCCTTAACCTATTGTGAGCATGAGCCCTGAGTGCAAGTCGATTTGTGCCAGAAGCTTCTCTACTATAAGTAAACGTCAACAGATCAAGGAACAGACTTCACTATTTGTTAAGATGGGGAGTAGATATCATAGGAAACCCACACCGGAAATTGCAATGCCTACCGATGGCCGCAAGGCTGCAACCCGTTCCAAAGCGACGGGCTCACTCCAGAAGGACATTATCTCATTTACTTCTGCTTCATCGGGTATTTTACAGGGCGACACCGTGAAGGTCAACTGCTGTAACTGCAAGAGCATTCTGCCAACAACTGCGAAAGATTGTGTATTTAGCCCTCATTTCAAACCGAGTACAAGGAAGCTTCCCGATTGCGATTGACCATGGTGGAACATATCATACGAGGACGTCGACGAAAGAGCTGAAAAGCTTGAAATGACCTTGCTATTTCTTTTCACATATATATCAAATTGACCTAAACCCTTCTGGGTACCATACTTCCGGAAGCCTACAGGCCCGCTCTAAAGGAGAAAATTGAACAAGCGTCAAGAAGTCAGGTAGGCAGTGGATTACCTCACTCCGCTCTTTTTTCTAGAAGACTAGTAACAGTGGTCTGCTCAGTCAACGGAGAGACATTTTGGCTAAGGACGATCCACCACCTCGATTGCTGATCTAACGTTATTGTTGAAAATATTTTGTGACAAAAAATAGGCAAAAATAGAATTTTCTCAAATTTTTTCAACCCTCGCATACTTACCTAACTTAACTTGGATTAAAATTATAAACCGGTTTGTTGGAATAATTCGTCATAAGGTGATCGTGTATGACGTCAGTATTCTGAGAGTTTCTTGGAGACATAGCTGCTTTTTGTGGGTGTAGGCTGAAGAATTTCTAAAATATGGCGAAATGCTTCATACATAACCAAATGAAACTCAAACCACGCTCGAATCAAAGTAGCATTTAGGTTCACCTATAAAGCTGTGGGATGAGTTAAGGATGCAATCGTGTTCGGTGGAAGTGCGACCAGCCGCTCATATAGACACGAAGTAGTACCGTCTGTTCTAGCTTTTCAGGTGATGGAAGAAGATAGCTACGTAATGTGGGGTAGCTGGTTTCTATGTACATCTTTTGACCTGTAAAAGCAGTAGACTGCGGGGAGTAGAAAGTGATGACAGAACTGCATTTACTCATGACGTATTCCTCATTTGCAGCAGTATTTTCGAGAAACGCTAGAATATATGAGAAGTGAAAGTACTATTCCATTTCCGATGCGATGATCATCAGAGATGCTTTCGAAACATTTTGATTGAGAAATCTGTTTAAAAGGGGATCGCAGACTGTTCTCAGTCCAGTTTCCCGGAGGTCTCGCGATATTTTATTCTTCAGACTTTTTTNTTTTTTCCCTCGCAGTAAAGTGTTCAAAATCATACTTTCTACTGACACTTAGATTATGATGAGGCCTTATCAAGAACCCAAATAATATAGTCATAACCACTATTTGTCATAAAGTCACAGCAGTCATACATTCTCTGGGTTTAGGCATAGATAATCAAAATCTATCATTCAATGAGAAATCCTACAGAAGTGTTTGATGTATAGCTTCTGAATATTTGCAATACGTCCACATTACGATTAAAGAGGTGTCAAATTACATGCATTCAAGGGGGCATCAATTCGATAGCCCGATGCTGTCACAGCAATTATTGCCTAAAAAGCTGGGCAATTGATTTCTCTCCAAATTCAAAGTATGGATAAGCTCAGGCTCTCAATTTTCACACAGCTCATAAATACATTCTTATGACTTATTTTGTCAGTCTCACGACGTAATACTTTTATTTGGCTCGTTTGGACTCTATTTAACAAATACTGAAAATTGTTAGATTATCCCATAAATAGATCTATTAGCGGCATTTTCTGCCGTCACTTTGGCATCTGCGAGATTTTTCTCGATCACTTCTCACGTATGGTCGCAATTTCTTTGGAGCTTTTCGTGGTCGCTTGCCTTGAATCCCGATTTCCATTGTCTCCTTTATCTGATGGTTCCGCGGCCTTTTCAGTTTACGTCTGCAGACACTGCTCTCATCTTTTGCTGGAGAGAGGCTGCTTGCGTGACCACCCTGACGTCTTCGTTTCTGATCCAATTCAGTCGCGTCCAACTGCAGGCTAATCTGAGCATCCTCAATTCAGAGAAGTGAAACTGCTTTTCATGAGACTTGCTTACGGGCCAGCACTCGTTGACGTAGAGCTTCGTGGACCTACCACTCCCCGACCCACCTTTCCGTTTTGTAGTATCGTCGATCACAGAGGATACAGATTGACTTCTTCTATTTAATCCATGCAGCGTGTATTCGAGCTTTTACAACCTTGTCCTACCATCAGCGGCTAAATCACTTCCTCAATATAGGACCCCTGCACTCATTAGATGGTTTTCCAAAGGCCCTGCACAGTTTTCGAGCTTGGAATTTTGGTCATTTTTAGGTTCAGTTGGAGTCGATTCTCCTCAAGTGCTTTCTGCAATTTCTGGAGCTTGCGCTGGAATTCTTCTCGACTACCCGCTATCGAGACGATGCCACCAGCGTCGAGGCGTCCTTTATTGGTTCATCTAGTTTTTTTGTGTTCCAATGTTAGTAGGAAAGGAAAAGCTGAGAACTGATCCCTGCGTAGGGGCATCTATTGCTCCTGCTAGACGTAAGGAGTGCGTATAGTTGCCTCGGACCCACCGTGTATGCCTCTCAGCAGAGAGACCAGGTATTCGGAATGCTTTTTTCTTGGCTCCTCAGAGGCTGAGATCTCAAAATACAGTCAACAAGCTTCCCCTTACTCTATCTTCTTATCAAAATCTACAAGTTCTCAGCTACGACGATTCGGTCTCATAAACGACAGTTAAGGTCAGAACCATCATCAGTTCTGTTGGGGGAGGCTTCCGCTTACATTATCGCATGGTTTTTGACATCATTTTGACACATATGCTTCAATACATACCGCCACATCTTGCCAGCACTCAGATGTTCCTAACCAATAAGTCACCTCCAGAGAATGACCTCAACAGCAGCTAATGTGGAGGCCTTCATACAAACGTAAGCAATGCATTCGTATTGGAAGCAGCTTGGGAGCTTCTCACTCAGCATTGCAGGCTGTTAACATGTATGGGTTTTTCTCCTGTAAATATTCGATGAAACGAACTCAACTATCCAAGCCAAGTAACTCTGTCAAATCGATGTTTCTCAATTCTCTTCCGAAGGACTCACCATGTGATGGTTGCCGTACTTGATGAGGAAGTTTTCAAGCCATCTTGTCGTACGGAAGAAACACGAATTGAATGTCTGCGTAAAACGAAACCTACGTATTCTCCTACTTTGGAGAATGGACTCATCAGATCTG